CCCGTCTCTACTTAAGGACAAAAATGAGCCAGGCGTGGCAGCGCGCACCTGTAGTCCCAGCTATTCGGGAGGCTGAGGCAGGAGAATCACTTGAACCCGGGAGGCGGAGGTTGCAGTGAGCCGATCGCACCACTGCACTCCAGCCTGGTGACAGAGCGAGACTCTGTCTCAAAAAAATAAAGAAAGAGAAAACAGGCACCAGAGAGCAGCGGGTATTATCGTAAATGAGGTGAGAGCTCTGAACAGGAGGCCCTAGGGCAGAGCCCAGAATGTGGTGATGCCCTGGGGGAGAGTCTCCCTGGCAGGAAGACCTGAGGCCTCAACTGTGACCAGGGAGGTGGAGTCAAGGGAGGGAGATGGAGGGGCGGCGCACGGAGGGAGAGAGGCCGTGGCCCGGCCACAGAAGACCCTGAGGGGGACTGAAGATGTTCCTTGTGTGGCAGGCAGCTCCTGCGGGCAGTGAAGGCATGGCTCCACACTGGTGCAGTTAGGAGAGGAGGCGACCACAGACTTGGGGACTAGGCGGCCGAGGTGCAGATGGGCTTGGGGCAGAGCCAGTGTTGACAAGCAGCTTAACTCAGGGCCTGTCCTTCGAGGCAGAGCTGATGGACGGGGTATGGGGTGTGCCGTGGTCCCACCATCCCGGAAACTCCGTTCCCCCGCCCCCGTCCGCTGCTGGGTTCCCATCCTGTCCAGTGGCCATGGCTTCGTTGTTCCCTGTTCTCTTCTTTTCCTGAAGCCCCGCATCCAACAGCGGGTACATGGAAGACAAATTTCTAAAACCTTTGTATCTGAAAATGTCTTTATTCTTTGATCTGTCACCAGGCTGCGGTGTAGTGGCACGATTTCAGCTCACTGCAGCCTCCATCTCCCAGGCTCAAGCAATCCTCCCACCTCAGCCTCCCAAGTAGCTGGGACTTCAGGTGCACCCCACCATGCCTGGCTAATTTCTGTATTTTTAGTAGAGACCAGGTTTTGCCATGTGGCCCAGCCTGGTCTCCAACTCCTAGACTCAAGTGATCGGCCCACCTCGGCCTCCCAAAGTGCTGGGATTACAAGTGAGAGCCACCACGCCCTACCTCCACTCACGATTTTACATGGAAATCAGCCAGGTCCAGTAGCTTATGCCAGTAAACCCAGCACTTTGGCTAGGCTGAGGCGGGAGGATCGCTTGAGCCCACGCGTGTTTGAGACCAGCCTGGCAACACAGCAAGATCCCGTCTCTGCTGAAATAAAATTAATACATCAATCAATGGAGCTCATTTTCAGTTGGAAGCTGTGAGATCCACCACTCTCTGTGTGGCCTAAGGCCCCAGCCCAGTCCATGTGCCCAGGATTTTATCTCAGCTGCTTTCTGCGTCTTCTCCATGTCCATGGTGTTCTGACACTTGACAAGGGTAGCCCCAGTGCCACTGATGGTTCCCTGGCCTGGCGCCCTCTGGGCTCATGCCACCTTGGGAATGATGTGTGCCCTCACTGGGCAGCTTCATGGATTCTCTTATTCCCATGAGCTGGTGGGTTGAATGTATCCTATCGCAGTTCTGGAGCTGGAAGTCTGAAATCAAGGTGAACACTCCCTCAAAGGTTCTAGGGGGCTCCCACTCGCCCCTCCCAGCTTCCGGGGACTCCAAGGGCTTCTCATGGCAGCGTCACTGCAGTCTCTGCCCCATCCACACCGGCCCTGTCCTCTGTGCCTCCTCCTCTGTCTCCTATGAAGACTCCTGTCATCCGCTGCAGGGCCACCTGGGTCATCCAGGATGGTCTCGTCTCAAAATCCTTCATGACATCCGCAGAGACCCTTTTCCACGTAAGGCCACGTGCACAGGTGTCAGGCTAGGGCTTATGTGTGTTTTGGGGAGGTCTCATTCAAGCCACTGTACAATGTATAGCCAAAAAAAATCAGCCTGGCCCAAAGGCAAAACCCTGCCTCTACTAAAAATACAAAAATTAGCCTGGTGTGGTGGTGCACACCTGTAATCCCAGCTACTTGGGAGGCTGAGGCAGGAAAATCCCTTGAACCCAGGAGGCAGAGCTTGCGGTGAGCTGAGATTGCACCACTGAACTCCAGCCTGGGTGACAGAGCGAGACAGCATCTCAAAAACTAATTAATTAATTAAGATGGCTCCCTGTCACATTTCTGTTGCCTTACCAAGAGAGAGACGGAGCCTCCCAGGTCGCAGCCGTGCACGGCCTAAGTGACAGATGCCCGTGCAGACCTGGCTCTGTTGGCTCCCTAGCCCCAGCGCGGTTCCCGTCCTGCTTCGACTTCTCGCGAGCACCAGTCCCTGGGCTCCTGGTGAAGCCATCACCTCCTGTCTACTTTGGAGCCAACTGGACAAGGGCTTGCACCCAGTTGAACGATTCTCCAAAACTGTTTGCATCTGTTTGAAGCTTGTCTCCTTGGGAACCTGCGATTCTCAGAGCCCACTGGCTTGAAGGCAGATGCCTTTCATGGAGGCGACAGGCAGAACCTGACGTCCAGCCAGGGCCAAAGAAGGAAAAATGCTCAGCAGAAGAGCTGGGAGGAGCGTGGGATGAGACAGACGCACGGAGCCACCTCCACCCTCTCCCGCGGCCAGGAGGGAGACTGCTGGGCCTCGCCGTCCCTCAGGATGGGTTGCTTGTGGAGGAAGACCTTGTCCTTCTGCCTTGTTTTTGTGCCCATGTACCTACATGGGGCTTCATCGCAGGAAGCCGCCCCAGCAGGGCCAAGGAAACCCTTTTTTGAGAGGCTCCGTAGACTGGAGGAGCAGGCAAGTACACCCCTGACGTGGGGCGGTCGGTGTTTTAAATTGGCAACAGATGAAAGGCGGTTGCTACAGCAGCAGAGTGGAAAGCGTCACGGCTTGGTGGACACGTACACGGCGTGATGTTCTTTCCATGGTGAAGATTATTTCACCTGTAGTTGGACACCAGTGGAGAGGTGTGCTGGGCTCCACTCACACCAGACACAAGCCTCATAACGTGGGGGTCAGGTGGGACCAGAAGCTAGGAGGGGGTCTGGAAGGGAGTCGGGGGAGTTGGGGGCCATGGGGGCCGGCAGTGTCACGGGGAGTGGAAGCTGAGAGGTCACAGGTCCACCTTGAGGCAGAGGGTGTGGACGGCCTCTTGGACTCCCATGCTGGGTCCACAGACCGTTCTGGAGTGCTCCGTGCCTGTCGTACCTATGCTGGGTGCTTCCTCATAAAGGACTCCTGAGGCCACCCTGCTGTCCCCACTGACAGGCAGGAACTGGGGTCCCAGGGGGAAGTGGCTTGCCAGTGGTTGTGGGGACTGGGGCGGGGATCAGAGCCACAGCTGTGGGCCTGCAGTCCACACCCCACGTGGGGCAGCTGCACAGCCCGGGGCTGATCCCTGGCATCCGCCACATCTCATGGAATCACAGTGGGATCAAGTCAGTGGGCGGACAGCCAGTGCAGACCATGGGCCTGGCACGCGGGCGGTGCTCCCAACGTGAGGGGCCAAGTCTTACCCGCCCCGGCCCATCATTGATTCGTCCTCTTGACAGTTCCGGAGATTCCAAGAGGTGACCTTGACGCACCTGCAGAGTGTCGCCAGCAACTACAACGTGTCTTACAACGTGGACTTGCGGTTCCGGAGCCTGGCGGAGGAGAGCCAGGCCGTGGCTCAGGCAGTCAACCGGTCGCAGGCCGCGGTGCAGGAGGAGCTGGCGAGGCTCAGGGCCTGGGTGAGGAAGGCGTGGCGCCGAGGCCGCAAGGTAGACACGCGGCTGCGGGCCTTGGACCTCACCCTGGGCGAGAGGAGCCAGCAGCAGGCCCGGGAGAGGAAGGAGCACAAGGCCCAGAGGGATGCCCTGCAGGACTCACTGGCCCGCCTGGAGGGCCTTGTCCACAGCCAGGGCACCAGGCTGGCAGCTCTGGAGGGGCGGCTGCCCGTGGCCCACCCTGGCACTGCAGCCCCGGGGCCGGCCCTGGTCCTAGCCCCAACCCAGCCTGAGCAGCTGGGCCCGAGCTCCCTGAAGCTTCCGAGGGACAGGCAGGAGCTCCGAGCTGCATCCGAGCACAGAGGCCCCCAGCAGGACTCCTCCGCCCCTCTCCAGGGGACGTGGGCGCCTCCAGCCCCAGGCAGCCGTCGGGCACTCAGCGGGGCTGCCACAGCCCTAAGAGGCCCTCCGCAGCAGGGACCAGGAGACAGTAAGTCCCGCAGGCCCCCGTCAGCCCCAGGCTTCCCTCCAGCTCCCTCTTAGACCAGGCCCCTGGAAAAGGCTTCTCTGAGGGATGGAGTTAGGGGCCTGGAGACGGGGAGAGGATCTGGGATCATCCGGGTGGGCCCCATCATCACGGTGTCCTTGTAAGAGGGGGCAGCAGGCACAGAGTGAGATGAGGACATGAGGACGGAGGCAGAGGTGGCGGGATGCACAGACGGGGACCCACGCCGAGGGGGGGAGGTGCCCCTGGGAGCTGGGAAGGGCGGGAGATGGCTTCTCGTGGAGACTCCAGGGGAGCCAGCCCTGCCCACAGCCGATTTGGGCCCTGGGAGACCACGCTGGGCTTGTGACCTCCGGAAACATGAAACACTAAACCTGCGCCGTGTGAGTCATGAAATTTGCGTGCAGAGACTCGCTGGCAGTGAGGGGCGCTGGCTCAGCTGTGTGGGCTGACAGCTGGGGCTCCCAGCGGGACCCCACCACTCCCTAACGGCCCTCATGCTCAGTCTTCTGCCTGTGGAATTGGGGTGATCCCATTGAGAGGGTGAAGGAGACGCAGCAGGGGAGCCGTCGGCAGGGCCAGCGCGACAGAGTCAGTGCTCCGTGAAGGGTGGCTGCCGGGAGCAGGAGCCGCAGCGCCGGCGGTGGGACAGCACCCACAGGGCATGCGTGCTTCTGGACGCTTCTGCACGGCCTCCTGCATGGGGCTGACCCTCCCTCCTCTGTTCCTAGCTTGCGGCGTGGGCCCCACCCTGGTTTTCCCCAACGCCTCCACGGAGAACGTGGTCTTCCTCAGGCCCAGCTTCGGCGCCGCCTTGCGAGCCCTGTCCTTCTGCAGCTGGGTCCGCACCGCCTCCAGACACCTGGGCACCCTCCTGTCCTACGCCACCCAGGACAATGACAACAAGCTGGTGCTGCACGGCCGAGACTCCATGCCGCCTGGCTCCATCCACTTCGTGATCGGAGACCCGGCCTTCAGGGAGCTGCCCCTGCAGCCGCTGCTGGATGGCCAGTGGCACCACGTCTGTGTCATCTGGACATCCACCCAGGGCAGGTATTGGCTCCACGTGGATCGCAGGCTGGTGGCCACCGGCTCCCGCTTCAGGCAGGGCTACGAGATCCCCCCTGGAGGGTCCCTCGTGCTGGGCCAGGAGCAAGACAGCGTTGGGGGAGGGTTTGATAGCTCTGAGGGCTTCGTGGGGAGCATGGCTGGCTTGGGCATCTGGGATCGGGCACTGGTTCCCGGGGAAGTGGCAAACCTTGCCACTGGGAAAGAGTTCCCGACAGGTGCCATCCTGACGCTGGCCAATGCTGCATCGGCAGGCGAATTGGTGCAGAGGACCAGCTGCCCCTGCCCAGAGCTCTGTCCGTGAGGCCACGCTGCACAGGGCTATGGCCAGCAAGTGGAGCATGCTCCTGTCCACGTTCCGCCAGCCCCGCCCAGCACATTCCACAGAGGACACCCAAACCCGTCCTGCTGTGCACACCTGCGCCCTCACATAGCAGTGCCTCTTCCTCCTGGGCGGGTGGGGAGGTGGACAGGGAAACAGTGAGCAGGGACAGAGAGAGCCTGGGGTTGGGGACCACAAGGCCACGTTCTTTCCACCAGCACAGCGTTCTTTTCTTACCGATGCACTTCCTTCCTTCCTTTCTTTTTCTTTTTTTTTTGAGACAAAGTCTCCCCTGACTCCCAGGCTGGAGCGCAATGGCGTGATCTTGGCTCACTGCAGCCTCTGCCTCCCGGATTCAAACAATTCTCCTGACTTGGCCTCCCACGTAGCTGGGATTACAGGCACATGCCACCATGCCCTGCTGATTCTTGTATTTTTAGTCAAGACGGGGTTTCAGCATGTTGGCCAAGCTGGTCTTGAACCCTTGACCTCAAGTGATCCGCCTGCCTCCACCTCCCAAAGTGCTGGGATTACAGCATGAGCCACCACACCCAGCCCGTTGCTTCTTCCTTTCCTCTCCTTCCTTCTTCTTCTTTCTCTCTTTCTCTTCTCTTTCTCTCTCTTTCTTTCTGATACGATCTTACACTGTCACCCAGGCTAGAGTGCAGTGGCACAATCATAGCTCACTGCAGCCTCACCCTCCTTGGCTCAGCTGATCCTCCCACATCAGCCTCCTGAGTGGCTGGGACTATCGGCACACACTACCACGCCTGGCCGAACAATTTTTCTTTCTTTTTTTTTTTTCCCCGAGACGGGGTCTCATTCTGTTGCCAGGCTGGAGTCCAGTGGCACAATCTCAGCTCACTGCAACCTCTACCTTTCGGGATAAAGCGATTTTCATGCCTTAGCCTCCCAAGTAGCTGGGACTACAGGTGCATACCACCATGCCCAGCTAATTTTTGTATTTTTTGTAGAGATGGGGTTTTGCCATGTTGGTCAGGCTGGTCTCAAACTCGTGACTTCAAGTGATCTACCTGCCTTGGCCTCTCAAAGTGCTGGGATTACAGGCGTGAGCCACTGTGCCCGGCCCAGGCAATGCTTTTAAAACAACTTTATTGGCTTGGCACGGTGGCTCACGCCTGTAATCCAAACACTTTGAGAGGCTGAGGTGGGTGGATTGCTTGAGTCCAGGAGTTTGAGACCAGTCTGGTCAACGCGGTGAAACCCTGTCCCCACTAAAAAACAAAAAAAAACAAAAAATTAGCCAGGCATGGTGGTGTGTCCCTGCAGTCCCAGCTTCTTGGAAGGCTGAGCTGGGAGAATCACTTGAGCCTGGGAGGTTGAGGCTACAGTGAGCTGAGGTTGCGCCACTGCACTCCAGCCTGGGCAACCGGAGTGAGACCCTGTCTCAAAAAACAAAGCATTCTGCACACAGTGGCTCACACTTATAATCCAAGCACTCTGGGAGGCCGAGGCTGGTGGATCACCTGAGGTCAGGAGTTCGAGATCAGCATGGATAACATGATGAAACCCAGTTTCTACTAAGAATACAAAAGAAAATTTAGCCAGGCATGGTGGTGCACGCCTATAACCCCAGCTACTTAGGAGGCTGAGGCAGGAGAATCGCTTGAACTCGGGAGGTGGAGGTGGCAGTGAGCTGAGATCGCACCATTGCACTCCAGCTTAGGCCACAAGAGCAAACTCCTTCTCAGAAAAAAAAAAGCAAAACAAAACTTTATTGAGGAAAATTTACATATGATAAAATTCACCCGTTTCAAGCACATAGTTCAAAGATTTGCAGTGAATTGACCTAGTTGTGCAAGCGTCATCACAACCGAGTTTTAGGACATTTCTGTTCCCTTCCCAAAAACCTGTGTCTGTTGCAATCACTCCTGGCCCCACCCACGCCCTCCCCAGCCTCTGGCGGCCACACATCTGTTTTCCGCCTCGGTGGATTTGCCTGTTCTGGACATTGCATATAAACCAAACAGTGAATTGTCCGTGTGTGTCTCGTTTCTTTCAATTAGCACAAGGTTTTTGTGGGAAGCAGAAAAGTTCCTTTTCAAAGTTTCCTTTCTTGTTAAAAGGTAAGTGTGCTGGTAGCTCTTTGTTACGCCCTCTCCTGTGTAGCTGTTAGACACGCCACGCTTACAGGCACGTAGTACATTCTATGTCCTTGCACTTTAACCAGGATATCTGTGCTGGACGTGCTCACGGGCCTGTCCCAGCTCTCCATTGCTTTTACCTGTTTATAAAAGTTTTAAGTTGTTAGCCAATCGGGTTTTAGTTTAGATTGTGAGGTCTGGCTGCAGCCAGCAGAGATCAGACACAGCAGTAAGGATGACCCCAAATGCGTGAGGGATAAATGTGTGTGCTTTCCTTTGTTCACTGTACTCTTGTGGCAAGATGGCCAGCGAGGGTACCCTTCCTGCAGTCCAGGAAGTAAAACTTGCGTTGCCGAAAGATCTTTTGTCTCAGTGCCGATTTTTCTTTGTGGCACCGAGCATCTGTTTCCAACAGTGTTCAAGCTTCATCCCTGCTGAGGTGTGTGTCAGTGTTTCACTTGTGTTGGTGTCAAACAACGCCACATTGTACAATGGACACGTGTGGTTTATCCATTCATCCGCAGGTGGACATCTGGGTGTTTCCAGTGGAGTTATTGTGGATAAAGTTGCTCTGAGTGCTCTCATGTGAGTCTTTGCGTGGGCGTTTGTTTGCTTAGGTGGAAACCTAGGAGTAGAATTGCTGGTCATATGGTAAATTCATGTCTAGGCTTTCAAAAAAACTGCCCACCTATTTTCCAAACTTGCTGTATCATTTTTCTTTTTCTATTTTTTTTTTTTTTTGAGATGGAGTCTCGCTTTGTTGCCCAGGCTGGAGTGCAGTTGTGCAATCTCAGCTCACTGCAACCCCCACCTCAGGGGTTCAAGCAATTCTCCGGCCTCAGCCTCCTGAGTAGCTGGGACTACAGAAGCCCACCACCTTGCCTGGCCAATTTTTTGCATTTTCTTAGTAGAGACGGGGTTTCACCATGTTAGCCAAGATGGTCTCAACCTTGTCCTCGTGATACCCCCACCTCGGCCTCCCAAAGTGCTGGGGTTGCAGACATGAGCCACCGTGCCTGGCATGCTGTATCATTTTTCATTCCCACCAGCAATCTATGAAGGTTCCCATTTCTCCACATTCTTGTCCACATTTGGTTTTGTCTGTCTTTTTGAGACAGAGTCTCACTCTTATCGCCCAGGCTGGGGTGCAGTGGTGCAATCTCGGCTCACTGCAACCACCGCCTCCCAAGTTCAAGCGATTCTCCTACCTCAGCCTCCCAAGTAGCTGGGATTGCAGGCGCCTGCCACTATGCCTGGCTAATTTATTGTATTTTTAGTAGAGACGGGGTTTTACCATGTCGGCCAGGCTGGTTTTGAACTCATGACCTCAGGCGATCCACCTGCCTCAGCCTCCCAAAGTGCTGGGATTGCAAACATGAGCCACCAGGCCCAGCCTGTCTCCCTTTTGGATGATATTTATAACATTTTTTTCAATTCTTAATCATGGCAGCGTAAAAAACATCACTTGTATTGACCATTTGAACAGACATGTATCTGATGTACATTGATCATGACGTTGGAGATTCCCAAGAAAAACCCAAACGCAAGATCCAAGAATCAGAAAGTCAGCTGGTGCAGACAGGAGAAGGAGGGGTGCGGTGGGGTAGTCACAGCGAGGGGCCCAAAACCACTGACCGGGAGAACAGGCCTGGTTCTCAGAATTCACCAGTCCCTCCTGTTCTCGCTCTTCCTATCTGAAAAGTGAGGAGGCCGAGGAGAGAGTCCCACAGCCTTCACTCGAAGATCCAGGAGGGGCCCGAGACCCTCCTCTGCCCAGCGCATGGGTGGTTTCAGCCCTGCAGGTGCCTGGGCCCTACCCAGCTGGCCCTGTGGGGCAGGGACTCTAAAGCAGTCCCTCGAGTCTCCTAGCAACGTCTCTGTAACATCTCTGCCTGTGGACCCAGCATTTCCGGGCCTTCAGGTCCAGATCAGCCCGGCCCACCTTCCCCAACACCCCCTGTGGGTGAGTCAAGGTCGGAGATGGGATTTTAGAGCTGGAAAGCCCCGAGGCCCTGGCGTGACCGCTCCGAGTCACCCGCAGAGTTCCGCTTCTGCACAGCGGTGTCCAGCCCCGTGGACGGCAGCTCCTTCCCAACCGCTTTCCTTCTCCAGCCTCCTCAGACGTTTCTGGAACAACCTTGCTCCACCCCACTCTGCCTTTGAGGACGGAGCCACAGAACGTCATTTTGGGAAAGATTGGTCATTCGGGTCATGAATAGTTCTTGTGACAGCGATGCCCTTAGCACAGTTGTCTTGCCCAAGGTCCCAAGGAGGTGAACTGGGGCAGGGCTTTGAGGCAAAGGCTCTAGTGACCCCCAGATGGGAGCAGAGGCGGGGCGAGAAGGGAGGGGCGAGCACAGGCGGGGCGAGAAGGGAGCTTCCAGGACCTGGAGGCCCAGCCCCTCCCTAGCTTGCTCATGCTTCCAGCACCCTGGGGAACCAAGATGATTTGGGGGCTATGAGGGAGCTTGGGGAATGTGGGGATTTGGGGTGAACAGGACTCGGGAAGCCTGTCCAGGGTTTGGAGCAGGGGGGTCTGGGCATCCATCTCACGTGGCTCACAAACCCCACTGGCAGCAGCAAAGCCACCTGCTCATTTATTTTCCTTTCTAATTTTATTTTTTGCTCTTTCTCAGCAGCATCGCACCCATGCATTTTGAGGTGTGGACCACACCCACCTCCATGGCCATCAAATCCCACCCTTCACCAACTCTGTTACATTTCTGGGTGGGGAGGACAAAACCACACAAAACACAGGCAAAAAAAAACCCACCGGGGCCCTCATCTTGCCGGGGAAGTTAGGTCCTGATAAGGAGTCCCTCCCCCACCCTATCCCCACCATCACCCCTTCCCCCCAAGCTCTGCTCTCGTGGGTTCTGTAAACAGCCCCACCACGCCCCGCCCCAGCACTCTGCTCAGCTCTCTGCCCACCTGAGTGTCTTCCTCCAAGCCCTCCTCATCCCCGAGACCCAAGCGCATCCATTCAATTCAATCAATAACGTGCTGCACTCCTGCGTCAGGCGGCACGGCGCCTGCCTCTGAGGAGCCCAGGGAGGGGCCTGCCCCACCTCTGAACCCCCCCCCCCCGCTCGAGACTTGCTGTTTGCCCCTGACTCAAACCATTTGAGAGCAAGAGTCTTGAAATCAAGCTAACCCAGGTTCGACTCCTGCCTGCTTACGGGAGCCTTGGAAAAGCCAGCTTCATTCTCATCTTTTTTTTTTTTTTTGAGACCGAGTTTCTCTCTTGTCACCCAGGCTGGCGTGCAATGGCACGATCTCAGCTCGCTGGAACCTCTGCTTCCCAGGTTTAAACGATTTTCCTGCCTCAGCCTCCTGAGTAGTTGGGATTACAGGCGCCTGACCCCAGGCCCGGCTAATTTTGTATTTTTTTTAGTAGAGACGGGGTTTCTCCATGTTGGTCAGGCTGGTCTCAAACTCCTGACCTCAGGTGATCCGCCACCTCAGCCTCCCAAAGTGCTGGGATTACAGGCGTGAGCCACTGCACCTGGCCTTCATTCTCATGTTTAATGCTCTTGTGTATGACATGGGGGTGCAATGACCTTGTCACCATCCCTCAAAAAGGCAAAGGTGTCCTGGCATGGTGGCTCACGCCTATAATCCCAGCACTTTGGGAGGCTGAGGCGGGCAAATCACTTGAGGTCAGGTGTTCAAAACCAGCCTGGCCAACATGGTGAAGCCCTGTCACTACTAAAAATACAAAAAACTAGCCAGGCATGGTGGCGGGCACCTATAATCCCAGACACGTGGCTGAGGTAGGAGACATTTGAACCCAGGAGGCGGAGGCTGCAGTGAGCCGAGACTCTGCCACTGCACTCCAGCCTGGGTGACAGAGTTTAGACTCCATCTAAACAACCAAACAAAGGGCAAAGCCAGGGCACACCCTGAGAAAAACACCTTTTTTCAAAGAATGTTGCTGATGGTATTTCAGAAGAGTATTGCAGTGTAATCACGGGAAAATTCAAAACTCTGTTAGATTTCCTTCCTCTTATTGTGGGCTTAGTTTTGGTTTTATTTTGAATGATATCGGGGAGGGAGCGCTCCATTATCTTCTCAGCTGCAGAGGCTCTAAGGAATTTTTAAACTCTTTTGATTTGGAAAAATTTCAAGCTTAAAAAAATTGCAGACAGGCCGGGCGCGGTGGCTCAAGCCTGTAATCCCAGCACTTTGGGAG